AGGCTCCCTCCAGAACTGTTACTGAGCCCCACCCCCTGCCACTCTTAAGGGGTTCGGGGGTGGGACCCCTGGTGCCTAATAAAGTGACCTTATGGGTAAGAACACCGCATTTCCTTCCGGCTCCTGGCACCCATCCCTAATGAGAGAACAGGAAGGCAGGCCGGGAACCCCAGCCACAGGCCACTCTTCTCAGGAGCTGGCTCGGAGGCTCTGGCAGGAGAGGAAGCGGTGAAAGCCAGCGTCCTGGGCCCTGCCGGGCACTTCAGCAGCATGGAGCAGGCCCTGGGGGCTCTGGCTAAGGCACATTGACCGGAAAGTTCGAACACTGCAATGTCCAATCACCATGCATGGTTTCCAGGGCGACAGGAGCAGCCCCTGGGCCTCATCAGCCTTGAGGCACTCCCCACCCTGCTCTGAAAGGAAGCTGGAGAAGGGCCCCCCCAGATCTCACAGACACGCCCCTCTGCTCTCCAGTCCCCTGGTCTCTGCCCCAGGCGGGGGCTACGTGGGCACAGGGCGCTTGTCCTGGAAGAAGCGCTTGAGCGTGCAGACCTGTAGCACGCCCACCAGCAGCAGCACCGCCATGTTGACGGCGGACCAGAAGTTGACTCGCTCCAGGTTGCCCTCCTGCAGGTTGCGGTCTCGCGCCTCAAAGGCCCGCAGCAGTGTCAGCACCTGGATGCTGCGCTCCAACCGGGTCCTCATGGTCTCGATGGACTCCTGGGGGGGACAGAAGGGAGTCGGGGGAGCAGAGCGTGATGAGTGGCGGGGGGGCTGCAGAATCCACACTGCACTTCCTGGCGGCGGAGCTCTGAGCAAGTCTGTACCTCTCTGAACCCCAGGGTCCTCGACCTCAGTTAATGTTACAGGTACAAAACTCAGCAGCTCCCTGTCACTGAGTTGATGCCGACTCACAGTGGTCCTGCGGGGCAGAGAAGAACTGCCCCTCTGAGTAGAAACCCCACCCCCCGTCTTTCTCCTGTGGAGCCAGCTAGTGGTTTCAAACGGGATCAGTTAGCAACCTCGTGGGAAATCGCTATGCCACCTCGCTCCTGGATACTAGTGTGCCCTGTCAGAGCACGTGACAGGACTTCGCCGAAACAGGCCCTCTGGCTTCAGATCTTCCTTACTATCCTCTCCCCTGCCAACGCACAGCTGCAAGGAACCACCTCTGACTAGTGGGCACCGGTGGCATCAGTCTGGTGGTGAGGAATGCCAAGGTGGAGGGGGGGTGACACTGGCAGTGATGCTTAGGGTGACGTCTCCACCTTGCCGGGCCATGATTCCCAGTGGTTTGGCAGTTGAGCAATAAGACCGCCACCCTCCACGTTGTGCTCTGATGTCATCACCACCCATTTCGTCATCACTCTGGTTGTCACATACTCGCCTGGCCTGACCACTGATGCGCGAGGCGTGGGTGTGCCTGCTCTGCTGGTTGTGTGCACTGCCCACTGACTTAAGCCTCACGCCTAACCCACTCCCACACGTTGTGGTTCTGGAAATGTAACGAGGTCTTTCAGCCCTGAGAACAGGGCGGGCCCCTAAAACGGTGGGGTCAGGACTAAGGAGGAAGGGCAGCGGTCAGGAGGAGCAGCCTGGTTGCACCTTGATGTCCTCCATCTTGACGTCCAGCATCTCCTCCGGCTCTGCGGCCTCCGCCCAGCCCAGGGCCTCTGCCCAGCCCTCGCCTTCCTCATCGTCCTGCAGACTGTCGAAGATGAGTTCGAAGAACACGAGCTTGTCCGAGATGGTGCTGAAGGAGTTGTCGAAGCACAGCCTGTAGTCCCCGGCCTCCGTGGGCTCCACCCTGCGCAGATACACCAACATGAGTCCCCAGGGCAAACCGGGTGGTAACCCGAGGCCGCCAGGTGGGGCAGGGCTGTAACTGAACCCAGGCCAGCTGCTGGACTCACGTGTGCACCCCATCCGCCTTGCGGGACTCACTGACCAGCAGCACACCCTGAGGGCTCTCTAGGGAGAAGTCCACGTCCAGCCCGGCACCACCGATCACCTGGGGGCCAGGTAAAAACAGGTGGGGGGTGGGGGAGTGAGTCCAAGGCACCTGCTCACGAAAGGCCAGATCTGGGCCAACCGACCCAGACCCAGGTCAGCCCTTTGGAGAAGTTACTGACAGCCAGCTCCGGTACCACCCCCAACCCTTCACCTGGCCACGCCCCTTCCCATGACTCCCCCCTCACCCCCTCGCAGGTGAGAGTTGGGGATCCGCTTCTTTCAACCCTGGCGGGAGGCAAAAGGAGTATGCTGCTAATCAAAGGGTGGTACCAACTAGTCCACCCGAGGCCCCTCTACCGAAAATTTCGCCATTGAAAACGACACACTGGTCCCATGAATGATGGCTGAAGGCAACTGTTGGGGCTTTCTTTTTCTTTACAGTGACCATACTCCCTTCTCCCATCGCCAAGGTTTTGGATTGACATTTACCTGGCCACGACACACACACACACACACACACACACACACCACCCCCACCCCTCCCATTGATCACACCTCGCCTCTGTGGTTAGCGTTCTGGCCACGCCTACCAGCTGCGTCATCAGGGCCAACTCCTTTCTCGGACTTCGGGCAGGAGCGCTCAGCCTTCTGGACGGCAGCCCCGCCTTCCCGCAGGCCCCGCCCACCGGCCTCACTAGCCCCGCCCCCTCATTCTTGCGGCTCCCTTCGCTCCCACGCACTGGCTCCGCCCCCCACTGGCTCGCGCTCTCTAGCCCCGCCCAGGCGCCCACGCGCGGACTCCTCCTCCTTCCCTCAAATGCTCGCCTCGCCCCCGCTGCTTGGCCACGCTCCGAGCTCCCAGTTGAAGGTTCCGCTTGCACCCAGGGTCGGGACCCTCTACCTGGTACTCGGTCTCGAGGCTTGCGTTCGCCGGTGCAGACTGGTAGAAACACTGCTTCCTCCCCGCGGGCAACAGGAACGTGAACTCGCCGTCCTGGATCGGCGGGGGGCCCGCCCATCCCATCCCCATTGGCAGCAGGAGTAGCCACAAGGCCAGGGTTAGGGCCGCGCCGGCCGCCATCATCCGGGTCACCCTCGGGGTCTGCTAACGGGTCGCGTCTCCTTTAAGAGCTAGGCCTGCCTCTCGGGTACTCGGGGAAGCTGATTGGCCGCAGCGTCTGCCCGTTACCCGAAACCTGTGAAGTCTGGGCTGAAGGACCCCTAAGAATTCAGTCTCCCGAATGAGTGCCTGCTGCGTCTGAAACTATCCCGAGACTTTTTTAGGAAGATCGTTGGGCCTACCTCGAATTGCCAGTGGATGAAAATGATTAGAAAAAAAGGATAATGGTCACTCAGGCTTTTCAGGCAAAATTTAAGACGACTAAGCTGGAGGCTGGCGGGTCCTTCGGAAGCGCCGCCCCGTGGAACTCAGCGGGGGCGGGGCGGGCACGCCCCCTTTGGGGTCTTTGTGCGACGTCGGAGTCACATAGAGAGGAGGGGGCTGACCTGCAGCGCAGGTGAAGCTCCTTAGCGAGAGCTTCACGTTCGCGACCTGCGAGCGTGGGCAGACCTGCCCCTGCCCATCAGCCCTCTCTCGGTTCTCTGACCTGTTAGGTGAGGGTGATGCAGCCGCCCCCCTAGGGAGCACCCTGAGAATGGTGAGCGCTCAGCTGCTCTTGAAGGGTCACCGGAGGGGAGCTTAGCGCTTCCTCCACCCCAAGGGCTTCGACCTCGGGGACCAGGCTGGCGAAATGAGTGACAAGTAATTGAAGTCGTTCCGGGGCAGAAAATTAAAAGGCTGCAAGGAAACAAGGGTCTGGGATTGCTTGTTACTGTTTCCGCCAAAGACGGGGACCAAGTTGGTTTGAGAAACCTTTATTTTGACGTTCTAGGTAGGATAGCGGGGTCTGCTGCCTCCAAACTGCTTCAAACAGCTAGTGAACATCAAGCACGTCTACACCTTAAACTACTAACCGAAACAGGCTTTTCACAGGTAGCAGGTTGCAATGATCACAGGATACAATTGATACTCTAAACCATGGGACAAAAAAGGCGGGTTTTGCAGTGATCCTAGGAAATTCTCATTTCTCCAGGTCGTCGTTAGACCACCCACCGTCCCCCTGAAACCTTGAGACAAGCTTCTGTGCCTGCCCTTACCAGACCACTGCCCCTTAAAGACTGAGGGGACTGCTTTCTGCCTGTTTACTTCAGGGCCTTACCAGCCTCCCGTCTGAGTTAGCACACCCCCACTGATTGAACTTGAAGGGATTTTTTACTACAAGGAGAGGGCTGAAAAAGTAAAAAAGGAGAGGGCGGTTACATTTTGGATTTTCAACCAAATGAATCTTACATGATGTGAAATTTCTGTTATTTCCAATAGCAGAAGGCAGTATCAAGAGGAGAGGTTAAAATGTGAGTCCAGGAGCCAGGTTCGAACCCTGCCCCGCAGTTGCAGTTGACTGGACACAGCTTGCTAAAATTGCCCCAGTCTAAAGGGGATAATTTTGGTTCTAATTAAAGAAAATGTTTCCCTGGAAATCTTTAGTCTTTAAAGGTAGACCTGACAGCGGTTGGCACGTGGTAGCATTGGCCCCTCCAAAGAGAGCTGTTGGGTGTCAACTCTTGCCTACGTTTGAAGGCTTATGGGGACGTCACCTGGTACGCCTTTCAGCTCCTGTTTCCCCTCCACTCACGTGCACGTTTTGAAGAGTAGTTTAGAGAAAGGGGGGCTGCCTTATTCCCTTCATTACTATTGAGGTGAAGTTCACATAAGTACCACAATTGTACTTTGCAGGTGCACACCATAACCATTAGCCAATGCAACTTCCACATTGAAGACCCAATGGCATTGATTCGATTGTTTTTGTTCTATTTTTCATGTGCCACCATGATGAACATAAACTCGATGATACCACCTAAATAAAAGCTCCCATCTCGTCTTCTTCCCACCCCTGGGAATCATTGAACATCTTTGGTTTTGTATGTATTTCTTCATCTCGTGTAATTGAGATCTTACCTTATTTGTCCTTTTGTGATTGGCAGATCCCGTTCAGCATGATTAACCATTGAATCAATTCCATGGCAGTCACAATTTTGTACAACCACAGCTGTTGTTCCAAAGCATCTCCATCATCCCTGAAAAGACCCTGGGCGATGAAGCAAGCACTTCCCATTCTGCCCTCTGCACATCCCTAGCAACCATTCATGTGCTCTACGCCTTCTGGAGATCTGATAGAAATGGGATCTTGCAGTAAGTCGCCTCTGGACCTGGCTTCTTTCATTTGGC